TTCATTATAATAAAGGTTCTGTTTGTATTTCCCAGTGAATGAATGAAAAACAAAACGATATTGTCGTTGTTTTTACTAACGTTTCGCTATTTAATACTGCTGCTAATAGCTTTATCAAAGTGGTATTATTAAGCCGGAATTTACAAAATCCCCTCAGCTTATATATAACAACTTAATCATAGTTCCTCGGCATGGGGTCACCTTTGCATTGTCAAATTGGCCAGTTGGTAAAGATAACAAAACCAAGTGTAGATAACTGTTGGATTTGATCAGTGTGTAGAATTATAAAAACAGCGTGTGTTTTCATAATGAAATTGCTTATCACATTCGTGTTGCTTTTGTCATTTCATGGGGGAGGGAGAACGGTGTTGTAACCAGGTCAAATTCTGTTTTAGTCCATCATTCAGACTATTCAGACAATTTGGATTCCATTTGATATGAAGTGCTGGCTTCTGATTATGTGGGACGTTCTTTGTGATTTCTGAAATACTTTTTCTGGACGACTATTTCAATATTGTCACAATCAATTTTGTGGCCTAATTCTACAGCGTGTAGACCATCAGCTGTGGCTGATGATTTTTCAAGCTTTTCTAGTTCAACTGGATTTCTCGGTGGTAGAACAGACAATCATTTTACGGTGTCCATTTCCTCTGATTACCTTGATTTCTCTTTGGTGAGGTCTGTCCGATTTATATCGCATCACATTCCAAGCAAGCTTTTTATTTTATAGACACAATTAGATAGAGAATCTTTAGGGATCTGATCTTTTATATATGGACAAGGTTGCTTTGCAGTGTGTGTGTGTGTTTGATGTTTTGAAGAAAACTCCGATGTCGAGCTTATTGAGTATTCTTCTGATATCGTCTAACTCTTCTGATGGTCTATATGGAATGAAGACTGTTGAGGTCCATGTTTTCGGAATGCGTTTTCAACCATACTTTTAATGTCTGTGTTGATTTTGTTGATGAAGTTCCTTGGGTAGTTGGTTTGCTTGAGAGTTTCAGTAATGCTTGATATTTCTTCTTCTTTTTCTTTCTTATCCGTTATCAGAGAGTGTGTTCGTCTAAGAAGACTTGGAACAAATGATACCTTTGCACTGACATATGTGAGATGAGCGATCCCATGGCTACTGAAGATCGTGGCTTCCATGCATCCCTGGTGGGGATTTGGATCAACTGATTGACCCTCCTAGAATGTATTACATAAAAGTGGACAACACATTCTGTAGTTAGATATAATGAAGAAGATTTGTAACTCGGGTAGATGATTTTGATTTAGTCGTTGTGTTCTCTGAGCTAGCTGGATGATTTATTTGAGAAGCTTCCATTACCCTACCCCTACTAGGCAACATCTTCAGCACGCATACTTCAATCTGTTGAAGTGAGCTTCTAGATTTATCCACGAGTTTATTAGTCATCTCTCCTGGTCAGTGACTTTGTTTATCATGACTGGTTGTTTCTGTGTGTTTTCACATCTTCTAGGTTACTTGTATTGGAACTGATTGTTTCCTTGACTTGAAGTTTGGCCCTGTGTGTTTGAGATTTCCTTCTTATCGGTTGGTAAATGTTGTCTATCTCGATGCGTCTATTGATTGACAATTCACTGGAATACCAGGCTGTATTCAAAAAGCATTCTCTAGCATTCTTGGTGTTTTCTCTGTCTAATCTATGAACGCTGGTTGTCTCAGTCGAATTGATGTTCATATATAAAGGAGATCTCAGAAATCACTGCAAGACCCTTCAAAACTTTAGGAGTTGACGTCGCACACTAACCAACGAAATCACTTCATTCAGCTGGGTCTGTGTCAACCAAAAGACTCAACAACGAAAGAAGATAAAACTAACATCATCTACAAGATAAATTGTAGAAACTGCGAAAAGCACTACATTGGCCAAATCGGACCACGTCCTCTTCGTCTTTGTATCCATGATCATAAGCTAGCCGTCAGAAGACATGATGACATCCACTCCCTCATATCACTGGCTACATACAGACAACCATGGGCATCAGTTATACTGGGACAATCAGCATTCAAATATTAGACAGAGGAAACACCAGGAATGCTAGAGAATGGTTATAGATGCCAGCGAGTCGTCAATCAATAGACAACATCTACAACAAACGCATTAATGAGCATCTTCCTTCATGGTTCGGAAAAGGTCAAATAAAGTCCATACGAAGTTCTATTTTGGCTCATTTGATTGATAGTGGTCACCAAGTGGACAAAAATAGTGCCTTCAAAGTTATTTACCGCATTCCATCGAGTCTTTCGAACGGAATCAGAACCCGTCTTTTACACTTAGCCGAAGCTATGGGAATTCGAGAGAACAATCCTAGTCTTTGTATACAAAAGAAATTTGTTCTACCTTTGTCTCTCCCTTGGCCTAGGTGAATTCTATTCAAAACCCTCCCACCCTTTCTTATCATCCATCTCTTTCGTACTTTTATGATATTTATTTAAACTCTGATTATCGTTCCATTTGATTTGACCTAATTTATTTATTTATTGAATTGTCTACATATATGCATATACTAACTTTGTTATTCTTATCACCTATATAAGCCTTATTAACAATATTTTGTTATTATTATAATCATTTTGTATAGTTTGGTTTGTAAGGATTAGTTATGTTTTACGGGTTGATCACGGATTGATATCAGTTAGAGAACCATTGAAAACCAGGGAGTACTGGACAGCTGCTGTTTCATCCTAGTTTGGGAATCATCGGCAGTACGCTATTAACTTCGTTCAAAACATTTACCACATTATTATTACTATTATTATCATGATTATTATTATTATTATCATGATTACTATTATTGTTTGATTCACTAAATCACCGTCATTGGTTAAAATTTTAAATATATAAGTCTATGTAAATTAGAGTAAAGCCTGAAGAAGATCTAATTGAAAACAATATTGTTCGCTTATATGTCTTGTTCTAACATCTACATAGACAAGATTTACCAACTGATAAGAACGAAATCTCTCTCTTTCCCCCCCCCCACACACACAGGGTCAAAGTTCAAGTCAGGGAAACAATCAGCTCCAATACAAGTAACCTAGAAGGTGTGGAAACACACAGAAACAAGCAATCACGTTCAAGGTCACCGATCAGGAGAGATGACTAATAAACTCGTGGAGAAATCTGAAAGCTCACTTCATCAAATTGAAGTATGAGCTGAACATGTCGCCTAGTAAGTAGGCCAAATGAAAGCTTCGCAAATAAATCCTCCAGCTAGCTCAGAGAACACTACTACATCAACATTCTGTAGTTGCCTATTTCTCACCATAAGTGAATCATAATGATTGACGTCTAACTGACTACTATTCAGGTATTTCGGAATACTTTTATTTTGATTTTAGTATGATTACCACCGTGTTTCTGGTGTTATTATTTAATATGATGGTAGTTAGTAATGACCTTAGGGCATAACACAACCTAAAAGTTTCACAGATTTAAAACACACACACACATACACACAATAGCTGACGTCTTTGATTTTAGCCATCTGTTACCATATTATGCGAGATATGATTTTTATCAATACTTATTTTATCGATCGAACAATTTCTGTTCATCTAGTCAGGTTGTACACATATATATTTTAATGTATTTTGAATAGAAATCAAATCTAGCAAAAATGACGTTTACACACACACACACACACACACTTGGTGTGTTCATGCATTTATGCGTATACATATAATTGAGATGCGTGTGTGTTGACCTTAAATAGTCTATACATACACGCTCGTGTTTGCTTGAAAACTTAACCAACAGGCTGGAAGTATACACCCAGAGAGAAAGGTCATATAGGGGTTTAAGTGTTGGTTTGTAGGGATTTGGTAGATTGGTTACAGGATTTCATCATGAGCTGACATTGGTTAGAGAACCATTGGAAACCACCAAGAAGTTATGGACAGCTGTTTCATCGTAGTTTGGGTCTCTTCATCAGTACGCACCGACCGGGTAATTCATGGGCCATTCGATCGGGTCCCAGTGGCTTAGTGGTCTACGAGCTAGCTTGCTTTGTAACCAGAAGGTCCTGGTTTCGAACCCAGCTGGGGTGGGCGCGTACTGTTGAAGAGTCCCGAACTAGGACGAGACAGCTGTCCAGTACTCCCAGTTGGTTTTCCAATGGCTCTGTAACCAATGTCAGCTCATGATGAAATCCTGTAACTATATAGGGGTCTTCGACTGGCTAACTTTTATTGTGTTGATTTCCAGGGTTTTGATTACTTTTGAAGTTTTATTATGAAGTGACTTCAGTTACAGAAGCATTGAAACACATCGGGGAGGAGCTTCAGACACATACTGAAGATCAAATGGCCGGCTGGTTAGAAAGAATAAGCAACAAGAAACTCTATCTGGGAACAAACCAACAAGCAAGAGCCGATCGCTCAACAAATATATGGGAGAAAGTGGAGATGGATCGGACATACGTCGAGGAGACTGTCGAATGAAGTCGCACGCAATGCAGGTCATCGCTCGAGTGGAGAAATCCCAGTGGGAAGCGACGAGTGGGTTGCCGGTTTGAGAGTGACATGAAGGAGATGGTGTGGCGGGGAACAGATGGGAGAGTTCGGTCAATCGTGGACCCAGCTGAAGAGGATGGCATAAAACAGAATAAAGTGGAGATGTGTTGTTGAAGTCGTTTATTCCATTCGGAGCAAAAAGGAATAATGATAGTAATAATAATAGGAAGGCGCTGGCCAGGAATTGAATCCAGACTTTCTGTATATCTGTGAAGCTTTCTAGCATTCGGCCACTAATTTAAATGGTCATATATGAGGACTGCTTAAGACTTCTAATCTAGGAACAAAAGGCTTATTCAATACTTCAGTAATTTCATGCAATTCTTCCCATTAAAATAAATCTTGAACAAAGCAAGAACAACAATTGTACCAGGATAATACAACCTTATCTTTTATTATTTAATCGAGGTCTCTTCTCAACTGGTTACAAACAGAACGTTAAAAAAATATGAATTACACTAAAGATATGAACATACTTTCCCACGATCATAAGGAGTAATTGGTAGGAAGTAAAAGTAACATTAGTCCGGAATGATTAAACCAATTAAGAGTTACAAACACTGACTATTTATAGAATAAATAATTAGACAATTAGGCTTGGAAACAAAAAACAGAGTTGCGTATATACGTGTGGGTATAGAAACAAGTTTTAGCTAGAAAGAGTATAACAAAAAAGTAGATTACGTAACTAAAGAAAATGTTTTATCTAATAGCCAATAGAAAAAAGGAAAGAAAAGAAACAAGGTAGGGTGAGTCATGTTTAGATGAGAGAGTGGAGTTTTCTAAACATGAAAAAGGGTGACTCACAAAAGTTGTATATTTAGTTTCTTACCACCAGGGCAGTGCAAGATTCACCACTGTCTCTTTCTGCGTACATAGATTTGGTTTGAGTCGTTTGATAGCAATTACTTCAACAAAGCGTAGCAAGCTGGGTTTCTTTTGCTTGTTAATTATTTTGAACGACTTCAGGTTGTCTACAATATGACCAGTGTCCAGTAGATGACGCACAATCGCACTGTTTAATGCTTGCCGACCTTTCGGCCTCAGGTTCTTTGGTATGTGTTCATAAATGCGGACAATAACCCTTCTCTCTGTTCTTCCAATGTCGTATGTGCTTTGGCACGTACATGTAAATTGGTAGACACAGTTGGAGGTAACATGAGGTCCAGTTTTGATTGTCTCAAACAACTAGTTATTTGATAAACACATACAAGCTTGGCGGCTGGATATGTTCTTTTCAGGGCAGCGTTCAGTCTGCATCTTATTCTACTAGCAGTATCATCACCTTTGAATGCAAGCTGTAGAAAGATAGGCTTTTTCTCTACTGCACTGCTTTTCACTTTTTCAACATGACGTCTCCCATACTTGTCGATGAACTTTTGTGGGTAACCATTGTCGCATAGGCATTTCTTCACAATGGATAGCTCTTCCTCAATCTTTTCTTTTGAACACAGCTTCCATACACGATCAAATAATGTTCTCACCAATTCTTTTTTGTAACTTATAGGGCCGAAGCTTTTGAAGTTAAGATGAACCGCCCTCCAGGTCTCTTTTCTGTGTATATATCTTATGATTTTGCCGTCTTTATCTCGTTGGATACCCAAGTCCAAGGAAATGGAACTTCTCTTCTTTTTCATACTCCATTGTAAACTTAATATTAGGGTGGGTGCTGTTCAAGACTTCTAATACTTGAGATGCATCATTGAAAGAATTACAGATAACGAAGGTGTCATCGACATACCTGGTATAGAAGTTTGTCTGACTGATTTCGGATTTTAACCTTGTTTGTTCTAGACTACCCATAAAAATATCTGTCAGAATCGGACCCAGGGGCTTCCCATGGCGACTGAGTCAATTTGGCGGTATATAGTGTTGTTGAACTGGGACTGTACGTCTTTGGTACACATAAGTAAAAGTTGTTTGAGTTCGTTCAGTAATTGATATTATTGTGACAGAATAATCGTTTAAAAAAATCCTACCTGAACGGTTCAATCATAATATTTATAATTACTCGGATGTTTCAACTAACTTTGCGGTAACTATCCATTTTTCTTCTAGACTGCATATCATATGTTGATTCGATCCTTATTATTTGTCCGTGTCACTGTTTAATCTCTAATTTTAATGCTTCTCTGTATAGCTGTGTGTAAATTGATAACGTGTTATTTGACTGTGTGATCTGTTTGACTGAATGAAGGTCAGTCCGCTTTTGGACTTTCTGTGGGAAGTGCTGGTGTATGTGTGATTCATGTGGACAGAATTTCTGATTTCACCATGTTGGGAATATGCTGCTTGATTCTAAGGTACTTGTTACAGTTGAAATTTGGTTAACTATTTTTTTTCTCTCTACAGTACTTGTGTAACAACAGAAGACAAGGGCGAAGCAACAGATCGTTTTATTACGAAAATCAACACGTATTTATATATATTTTATGTGCATTAATAAGGCTTATGCAAGCAGAAAAAGGCAGTCTTCTGATTGGTTGTTTCTCGGAAGTTAAGCAGACAAACACAGTCTTATGATTGGTTGTTTTCGATATTTCTCGGAAAGTAGAGCCATCTATCTGCGAATCATATTTGTCCACATTTAAGTTTGCTGTGATTGGTTGTTGAAACAGCCTTGTTCATATTTTCTCACGGCCCATATTAGTGACCTAGACATTAACGTAGATTAGTGTCAACCAATCGGCTAGCAGCCTGCTCTCACCACACTTGTTTCGTACTCAGAAAATTAGCTGGATTGGATTTTATAGCTAACTGCCTAACTGCACTGTTCGGGTAATTGTGAATTCAATAGAGTCACAGATTGTAAGGAGGAATAATCATCGTTTTGGTATATTTTCAAGTAGTGGTTTTTTGTAGGAGTTTTGTTTGATTCCATTCTGGGTAAATTTTTGTTTTGATAGAGTCTCACAGTGTTATACAGTAATGTTTACTGATGACGTTTCGAGCACAATTTATTGCTCATAATCATATCAAGGTAATCACACTTCTTAACTTCATTTATATAGTTCCATTGCATCACTTGATTTGATACGTAGTAGTATTTTCCATATTTCAAGTATGAGTGATAAATCATTCCTATTGCATGTGATGGGTGTAAACTCGATGAACCAGGAAGGATTCAGTAATCAACCTATCTCGCTCTCCACCTATCTAGATTACTTTTTAGAATTTTAGCCCTCTCCCACCCTATTGTGTGGTTGTGTGTTAATGCATGCAGTGCAATATAGTGCTGGACTTTTTTCTAAATTACTTATCTTCTCGGAGTCAACCATTCTTACCTTAGCTAGATTCTTGTGTTCTGACAATCTGACTACCCCTGACCTTCTAGTGTGACCTATGTAGTTAACCTCAGTCATTGCAGTGTATTTTGTAAATTATATTACTTTGTCTAATTGGGTCAACAGAGTCCTTTAACCTGCAGAGCTTGTCCTACCTGAGTGAGTTTGTAGGTTTTAATGCCACTCTAATTCCTGGTTTATTAAGAATCCTCTGGGGCCTCAGATGTCCCCTCCTTATATGGTATAACAGTAGATGACTTATATTCTCTCTTATTTATGTTATTATTACTAGTTTCACAATTATTTTTATTTTTCCTTTGGTCTTTTTCGATCTTCCTATTGAATTTTAAAGGATAGTTATTTAACACCAACGCATCTTCTATCTGTATAACACTGTGAGACTTTATCAATACAAAATTTACCCATAATGGAATTACACTCTACCACAGTGCACAAGTTTCGTTTGATTCGTTGGAGGATTTCATCATGAGCTGGTATCAGTTAGAGAACCATTGGAAAACCACCGGGGAGGAGTACTGGACAGCCAGCTGTTTCGCCCCAGTTTAGGACTCTTCACCGTAGGCATACACCACATGGGTTCGAAACCACAACCTTCCAGTTCCAAGGCCAGCGAACTCGTAGACCATGAAGCCACTGGGACCCACTGATCCAGTGGCCAGCCATGAATTCTAACTCCTGCCAATTCATAACATAGTGCAACCATTTCTCAATGTCTTCTTCGATGAGTTAATGCCTCACTTTCAACCTGTTGTACCCGATTGGTCACAGTCTCCCACTAGACTAGCTAACGCTTCAGCGTACTTCAATAAGCACCCTTCACCATTTGCAAAAATTACCTTAAAAGACGTTTCGACATCAGTCTTGTAGGTCATATCGACTAGATGTTTAGAGATAGTCTGCCGCCACCTGTATCTATCGTTTCTCCAAGGTTCGTTTGTATTTCTAACCAATACAGAATATGCAAATCGCGATTACTCCTCTCTAGGTATATGCGTCAACATACACACACACACACGCGTAAATTGGTATATAATGTGAGATGTGATATAACCACTTGTGCACTTCTGAGATTTGCAGTGGGGCATATTTTTTGCCCTTTTCAAATTAGGCGGACGAAACAGCTGGCTGTCCAGTACTCCTCCCAGTTGGTTTTCCAATGGTTTTCTAACTGACTGATGTCAGCTCATGATGAAATCCCCCAACCAATCTTTTGTGACTATATTCTTGTCTCAATGAAGTTTCGGGCGTGTAGCTATACAGCAGAACACAAAGATCACTTCCCTCTGCATTTAGACCACAATGTGTCGGTTTTCATCGCTAAAGTCAACCCCTGAAGAAATCTACCCTTCGGTTATAGAAACATTTAAAATGAGTACAGTTAAAAGGTGTTAATCAAAGACAAAAGAAAGATATTTGTATTACACATAGTGAACTTTAATTAGAATGATCTTCTTATCAAATCTAATTGTATCCATTTGTACCGTGTAATAAAATATTTCACTATGTTTGTACATCTAATAAACACGAATCATTAAATGACATGAACAAATAAACGTAGAAATTTAGGACATTTTATACTATTAATACTGAAATATTTATAAATATATATATAAAAACGCGTATCTATTACGATTAAAAAGTCTAAACATATTTCGAAATATTGATTGATTGATTGATCCAGTACAGTTTTGTTTTAATGAATAGGCAGTATTAATAATAATAGTAAATCATTCAACTAAAATGTGAAATGAAGACAATAAATTCAACGGATTCCAATTACCTGAAATAAAATAAATCATAAATGGTGTTGAAATTTAAATGAATTAATGAATTTTAAATATTGTCATTTAATTGAGATTATATTATTATTATTATTATTATTATTATTGTTCCCTTGGGTTCCGAGTCGAACATGCAACTTCAAAAGGACATCTCCACTTACGTCCTATTCTCTTTGCAGTTCTCTTCAGCTGACTCGCTCCACAATTGCTAATAGTCTCTCTCTCCTATTGCTTCCTCTCACTATCTCCTACATGTCACCCTCAAAGTGATGACTCACTCATCGATTTCCGATTGGGGTTCCAGTCGAGGTAGTACCTACCTGGTACACGATATAAATATCGATGGTCTCCTCAGTGACATGTGTGTCCAATTCATCTCCATTTTCTCCAAAATATATGTTGGGAAATAGATTCTTGGTTATTAGATACTTGGAGACAATCGGAAGCAAGCCTTGCCTGACCTGAGTTTCGTGCCAGCTGGAACTCACCAGTCAGTCAGCGAGGCGTGTCTGCAACAAACCTGAAGGAAATCATGTCCCTCATCTGAGATTCGAACCCGCATCACCCAATGCCGACTGCAGTCAGAGAAGTTACCCCTGAGCAGCTATTCTGGCTTATTGATTTAATCCGGTTCTTATCTATTGAACAAGTTGCGTCAATAAGCATTACAGTTCTAGGGGAGAAGCAGTTGAGAAGAAAGCAAAGGAAGAGAAATAACCAGAGGAGAGTTTCATTGCAGTTGAAATTTTTGTTTTTGATTTTTATCATCATCATCAGCATTTTTTGTCTGTAGATAAAAATTTATGACGTAGTATAGTAGATAATGTCTACCGGTGAGTCATCGATTTATTTTCTTTTTCGCCTTTTTGCTGTGTTTGGTCAGCTTGTAACACGGTTTTATTAAAAGAAAAAAAGAATTTCAGTATTTGTAAAATGAATGACGATATCAAATGAGACTGATCACGCCTAGTTTACCAGCTGGTCTTCTGAACACCTTGAGCTGTAATCTACGAATGTTTCGCATGCGATTCACTCCCGCTCTGACTCCTAGTTTAGAAATAGGGAGTGAAGTGGTTGGTGCAGATGTGTTGACCGCTTCACTTATTTGGGAAGTACCATCAGCCAGAGCCAACGGTTTGATCTCTGACAAAATCTCAGTACGGATACAGAGGGCTAGTTTCGCATATGCCAGTTTACACCGTCTCTGGCGTAGACGTGATATCCGGCTGGCTGTCGACCAAAGAACGTATGTACAGCTCAACAGTCCACTCCGTCCTCATTTATTTTTGGCTGTATGACCTGGCCATTGAGAGGGGAGGAAATGAAAAGATTATCTGTCTTCGATCATAGGTGCCTGCGCTCTATCTCTCGTGTAAACTGGTAGGTGTAATAGGGTGAGCAATATTGAGGTTAGGACATGTGTTACATATACCTAGCCTAGTCATCGCCTTCCTCGACAGATGGGCAATGTTAGCTGACACAAGGTCAGGCTGGAAAAGAGCTAGCGGCGGTCAAACCAAAACATGGCCTCAACAGTCAATGAAATCCACAACAGTTAGTCTAAGCCACGTAGGAAATTGTAGACTTCCTGACTGGTTGGGGTCCTCGAGACAGTAAAAACAAATGGTTGGAAACAATTAGTGATATGACTCAAAATCGTTCTCATTGATGGCTGGTGCAGATGCATCCACTCCTTGTGACTTATGATTTCCAATGAAACTACATTATTCTTCGTTAT